ATACTATCTACACTCCTTGAAGCAATCATGGAAGTGGACAAAATATGTGTTTGTACGAGGACCATGGTGCTCCAAACGGGGCCATGCCATCCACGTAGACGTAACCATGATGAATTTGGGGTGTTGCACCCAAGTCCAGCCTAACCCAGTAAAACCTGCTCTTTTAGCTCCTTGAGTAGTGTTCCTGTTAATATCTGTTAATGACCACCTCTGGTACATGGGGTCTTTGAATAGAAATAGGTCTAGCAGCTGGTGGCTCCTGGCTTTCGTTACCCTCTTCTCAGGTCATGACCAACTCCAGTGCTTGGGGTCCAACTGACCTGTAGTACGTTTGCCTCGCGACCCCTCAGGTAACATGCTGCGGAGGCCTGAGCTCTTCGTCACTGGGCTGATCGCCTTAATGAAAGCCCAACGCAGAGCCACACAACACTGGCAGACTACGTCATGTAGACTCTTGATTCACGAAAACCCGAAGAGGTTTTTTCCATCTGAGGAGGTTATTAATCAAGAGTTTACATGAAAAGGCACCTTAAAAACATGGGTGTTGTAGAGGAAGGTCGTCTTGCAGAGGTCCAAAAAGTTGAGGCGTAGCCTGCTCAGGATACCTGGATCTCCCAACTGTGCAGATTGTCTGCCTTTTGGCCGGTTTGATAGATGAAAAGGATTGAAAAGGCAGACATATTGAACAGTTGAAAGGTCCAGGTAGCAACCCTACAACTCCAAAACGACCTTGTTCTATCCGCTATCCACATAGAGAACTGCCACCCTGTAGACGAACATTGGCTTCAGTGCATCTTCGTGACTGGCATGCTTTCGGACTGTTCGCCTCCATGGCCGGCTTCTGGGTACACTCCCTGGAATTTTCATGTAAGTGGGTGGCTTTGCTCGATGACCCTTTTCCCCAAAGAGGTGGTTACCCACGTCCATGAAGATAGCGGGTCCAAGCTGGGTCTTTCTCATCACCTCAGGTGCCGATGATGGGGATCTGGGTCGCCTCATTCGGCGGTGCTCTCCATGGACCAGTCACCACCTATTTCCAGGCGCCACGCACGGCAGCAGCGTGGATTTCCAAAAAGACACCTCCCCTGTTTGAGTGGTCATGGTCCCATGGGTGTGTCATTTGCTTCGACCCATTTTCATGCATTATCTGCGCTTTGTTTGGTGAAAGCAGAGTTTTCGTCATAGTGTGTTGTGTAGCTGAATGCCTAGGCCATAGTCCCTTCAACCAATGTGCACTCATCAACTTGTGTACCAGGTGAAGGGATCCCAAATCGCTTCCTTAGCTGCCCTAGCAAGGAGCATTCCATGGTTGAATCCTGAACAAGTCTGCGTTGATGCCTAGCCTTTTTTTGGGGGGATTGCGCGCTTGGCGGTTGCGGTGGTTTTGGACCTTGCAAGTCAGAAGTCGAGGGAGTTGGGCCGAAACCACGTCTTTCTCCGCGACCAGGTGGAGCTGGGCGCGAGCACTGCATCTCAGCTGCACTCCGTCCGCTTCGTTCGTCGCCGACGTTCGGCCCCCTGGGGGGATCGAAGGTCGGTGGGGCGCACCGAAGGGCTCCGGCGACTGGGGGCGAGATGTTGACGTTTTGGATGAGCTCCTGGAGTGTAGATGGGTTCAAAGGGTTTCCCTTTAGCAACGATTTTCAGCTCATGGGAGACACTGGTGAAAGTTTCCCATAAAGGTTACCCATGGGGCCGTGGGGTGGGCCCATGCCGTACCCGGCAGCCCGGAGATCCGGCCTTTGGCCACCACCCAGAGCTCCGAGCGCCCGGAGCTCGGAGCGCCGCCAGGAGCAGATCGGGAACTTCGGGGTGATCCGTCGCTCGGGCGGCGTGGAAGGCGGGTGGAGGCGTCTTGCGCTGGTCGGGGTCGGGTCGGGTCGGGTCGGTGGGGCAATTTCTCACCATCCAAAAGCGGTTCCGTAATGGCCAGGAGCGCCCCGTTGGGTTCGCGTCCGATCGCTCCGTTCGTAGCGATGCCCTTTGTGACGTTCGTAGCGAACCTTGTTCCTAGGATAGTTGAAGCATGTTGAAGCCATAGCCAGGTTTCAGTTCATGTGACCGAGGATGTATTGACTGGTTGGGTGGAGGACATGGGACTTCTTTTGGGGGCTTCGACCACAAGAAGGGCTCCAGAAGAAGCGCCCAATTTGGGTGAATAGAAACACCGGCTGTAGGCCTGTAGGCGCACAGGGGACCTCAACCGGCAAGGCCGGAGAAACCTTTTTGGATCCTTGTGGATTGGGCCCATGACTGGCAAGCTGGTCATGATTATGACTGCATCGGATCTGCGGGGATGGCCAATTAATGCGAGAGAACAGCGTACACGCTTTTTGGCCAATTGTTGGAACATCGGCCAACCAAACCTTGCTTCTGGGCTCGCCATCTGTTGGTACTCGTAGTCCTTCTTTCACAGGGTGATACCCTCATCTTGGGACGTCGGGTGGGCTCATTGTGTAGCTGTAGGAGAGTGCTGTTTCATTTGCTTCTATTTTCATTTTTTGGGTGTGTGGGCGCACCTTTTACAAGAAACCTGGCATGGGGCCCAATGTCACCCAGTGAAACGGGGATCCTTCAAAAGGTTTTAGGTCCCAACTGACTGTTAGCTAGGCTTGGGTACCGATCACCACCGCTCGGGCTGAGGGACCATCGGAGTCTTATTGGTCTCGCCGCTCTATGGCTGGCTTCTGGATCGCCACTCTGCGTATACTCCGGCAGTGCTTTGGGCTGCATGGCCGCGCCACCGCATCCGCCGGGAACCAGTGGGTCACCGGAGGTTCAGCGGAGAACGCGGAGAACGCTTCTGCCCTGTGCCGGGTCCGCATCGTGCGGTCCCAAGGTGCTCTTCTGCCTCAGGTCGTCCAAGAATACCACGCAGCAATTCTGGAATGCGCTGGTCCTCCAAGAGTCCCAAGCAAACCACTCCAAAGAGCTCATCTCTCTTTAGTGTTCAAGCTGAACGACCTGGTGCTATCACCATCCAACTGAAATCCACTCGGAAGTTCTTCGCATTTTGAGGTGCTCAGTGCCTTTTGCTGTACCTTTGGCTGCCTTTTTCACGGCTTCGCGCAGGAGCATGCCCGGGGCGATCGTGGTATAGTACCATGCAGCTCCGGCCAATAGGCCTTTTAAGACCCATAACAAGAACCGCCCGGAATGATGGGAAAACTCCATCCAAAGCCGCCGGTGGTATGCCGGTTCTTGCGATCGAATCCGGTGGGAAGAACCCACGGCGCGATGGACGGCACTAGGACGTGCAGCACTTGTACCTGGCCAGTGTGGTGTTGGCGTTGGGTGCCGTGAATTTTTGGCCTCGCGGCGTCCAACGGGGTGGATCTCACGTGAGTACTGGTCATCGTTGTCTTGTGGGGAGAAGGGGGGAAGCCAAGGGAGCCAACAAGCGACTAACTTAGCAGGGGGGTAGACTGGGCAATTGACATTTCAACGCCTACTGCGTCATGCTTGGTTTAAGATGATTTTGAGTAACGTTTGTAAACACCGATGATACACGACGTTGCGGCTCAGCACGTGCTCACCACCAAATCTGACCAATGGTCACAAACAAGCCATGACATCAACCTTGAGGTGTTCGAGTCTGAGTGAACACCGCCATGTTGAGGCACTGGCTACACCGCCATGCCGCCCTGCCGGACCCACTCTTCAGTACAGGACTTTCCCCTTTCAGGTCCCCATCCAGAAGTTTCCCTTTCAGGTCCCCATCCAGGCCCTTCTTTTCATAGTCACTCCGAGGGCGTGACAGATGTACAGCCGGTAGTACAGCCGCCAAGTCAGGGCGAGTTTCGAGGTATGACAGCGGGTCACCCGTTGGGACGGCGTGCCGTTTGGCGCTTCATGAGAACATGATGACAACCCCTGCTACGTACGAAGGTCCACTTGCTAACGGCCGGGAGATGTCCCAGAAGAAAGCCTCCTGCGAGTGACGCGTCCCAGAAGAAAGCCTCCTGCATGCTGCTCACATAAGAAAACCCGTAATAAAGCAGCTATTAAAGAATTCAATGTTGTGGCACACACATATATACAGTAATCATATTATACTGCATATAGAGAGAGAGATAGATAGAGACACCAAAAAACATACATTCATGTATATTACTAGTGATATGACGTCAGCCCACCACATTTTTCCCGTTTGAGGAACGTGGTGGGCGCCTACGTGGCGTTGGCCACCCCGCGGGAGCAACGGCATGTGGTCGTCACCGGCTTCCAGGCCTGGCCGAGAAGTCGTCAAACACTGTCGGAGAAAGACAAAGACGAAAGGATTCGGAAAAGCAGGAGTCACAAAGGGGTGGTGTTTAGTCCCTAAGTGAGTGGATATTGGGCACCCCTAACCTCCATGGATCGCACCCTTGTGTGACTGGAACATATGTTGAGTGACACCTTGGAAGCCTTTTCGATCCTTGACGGTTTTTGTGCACTAATCGGTTTCAACAGGTTCAACCAGCCAATGGTTTGAATGGCATTCGTGGGGAAAGGTCAGGTCCGACACGTCGGAGAGACGAAGCATCCTTGTTCTCAGTGGGGACTCGGTTCACGTGACCCGAGGTTTGGCCCCAGGGTGCGCCATAAGGCCACAACCATTGGGTCAAAATAGGTCAAAAGGCTCCGGCCATTGGGGAGAAGTTGGAATGCAGCCGGGGTATGGACCCACCAATCAGGGCCGGCCCTCAGACTCATTCGTTCCGAGTGAAGTGACACACTTGCTCCTGCATAGTGATGAAACATCACCTGTTGGCGAAAGCTATGGCTGGACGATCCGATGTGCGTTGCGGAAAGATGTGTGTCAAAAAGACGAAAGAGGCACCCCATTCCCGGCGAGCTGAGCCTGAGAAACAAAGCTCTATTAGACACCCCGGGGGCATTCCACGGTGCGAACGAGCAAGAGCAGGCGGCCCATTGACTACGCTGTCGTCACTCCTTGTGAGGTGCAAGTCTCTGTGCTGCGATTGCTGGGCACCTCGTTGTATCCCTTCGTGGATTCGATGCTGCTGGCGCTGGGCGTGACGCAGAAGCTCCTGAGATATCGGATCCATATGAGCCACTCGTGACGGATGGATTGGGCCGCGCCGGAGCTGCCTCACCAAAGCTGTAGAACATGAAAGGGTAATAACATCCTCCTGTCCATTTGCTCTGTAAAATGGGGGGGGTCCACCCTCACCCTAAAACGTTTTAAGGTCTCCCCCCTTCAAGCGGGTCAGGAGGTCATTTTACAAAGAACACGTGCATGCACAGTCGACATGGACATCGATTTGACGTCAGGGATAGTCAAATTAGGATTTGTGCGTGAATGTTGGGACCTTCAAATTACAGGACCTGTGGGGGTTGGGAGCGCCGCTTTACATAATATATGTAATTTGCTATCCGGACCCCCCTGTGGAAACTGACACGGGATTATAATAACAATTTGGAACGTCGCTTGAGTCTCTGAAAGCCTTTGCTTAGAAGATTGGCGTTCTACACGTCACGTGCTGCCTCAGCCTTTGCTTTTACTTTACACATCGCCAGCTCAACCAGGATTGATGGCCGGGGCGCTTCAGGGACACCGCATGACACCCCAAAAACCTGTACGAGGCTATCCAAGGGCCCCAAGGGGTTATCCAAGGGGCTATCATCTAAGAGACCCCATGGCCGTGCCCATTTCAGCTTCAGCCGGACTTTAGACAAAAAACACTTCATCAGTCAGAGCTGACCGCACCAGGTGAGTGTAGCCTCTTCTGTGTTGTTGCCTTTGTCTACCTCGTGGGCCGCTTCCAACCAGCCACCTGGGGGGGAGGCGCCGGGCCAGCTGTTTGACAGGGTCATTTGGGTGCCCGACGTCTCATGAGTCGGTCCCAAGAGAAGTGGATGGCACGTGATGGGGACAGTGGTCACTCGTCACGGCTCAACTCACAAGGAGGCACTGGTCGAACATCTTCGGGGTGTTCAGACGTCTGGGTCTCCTCTTTTTGGGGCGAACCGGCTGCCGCTCCCCAACCCATGCGCAATGAGTCTGGGTCTCCGCAAGGACCCGACGCCACACCGGCGACGGGGGCGGGTGAAGCCCGCGCAGACCACGCAAAACGCCCCAGGAGGTGAAGACGGAGGCCAAGGCATCGGAGGAGACCCAGAGAGGCTGAGTGACTGGGAAGATGGGGGGGTTGGGAGGGTGAGTCTGGGAACGAAGCAGTTCACCAGATGAAGCAGCGGACGGTCCAACGCACCCAGCAGTTGCACTCCGACTCACTAGCAGCTGAAGTGGATGGCACCCACCTGGTTGTAAAGGAACGTCGCCTTCGAAGGGACCATTTTGGCACCCTTTTTCACTTTCCATGTTAGTGAGTTAGAGCGCCACCGGCCGTTTTCCCAGCGGTTCTTGCGAGGGCCAGGGGCCGTCGGTCGGCCGTTTCGGGCCGCCTTCCTCGAGCCGCAGCTCTCTTGGAGAGTGGTCGAAGGGGTCCAGGGAAGAAACCGCGATTCCAAGTGATAGTTGGTTTTATTCCAAGACCATAAACAAAGCCGGCCGCGGCAGAGATACGTGCTTTGGCTTATGCAATGCCAAAAAATACACCATAAACAAAAGGGTTGACGTGGCTTAGTACTCTAAAACGTCGTTCGAAGCCTCGGCACTCAAGGGGGTTTGAGGGGACCCCTTTTTCCCATCGCAGGGAGGGGCCAGTCCTATTTCGTTCTTGGGTAAAGACAAGCCCTCTGCAGGAGAAGCTCCAAACCTCTCAACTGGCGTTGCTGCTCACGACCAGCGTGGTGCAATCCTTTGGGGAGACGGCGCGCGTCCGGGACGGCGCGCGTCGCAATGGTGTTGCTGGGGCCGCTCCGGGTGGCATGCCCCAAGTCCAAGCGAAGCTTTTTTGTGGGATTTGAGGTGAATTTGGACTCCCAGGTGGCGGGCGGGGTAGAATGAGTGGTAAAATGAGTCATGGTCTGGGATGCAAGCATGAAGTTCACCAAGTCACTTAGAGCCGCTCCTTGACCTCCTTGACCGAGCCGCTCCTTGACCGTTTCTTCTTCGATGTCCGCGCCTTTCCTCACTTTGCAGGTGGTCACGGTGCTGTGGCCGTTGCACCTGCGGAAGCTGCACTTGGGATCGCATGACCTCGCTTGGCGGCACGGCTATGCATGGCTTTCGCCTGGCTTAGCGAAGGTGGTGGGTTTGAGAAAGCAGTGGGGGTGAGGGAACGTGGGTGTGGAAGAGACCATCCTGGATTGCGTCAAGGGTTGGTTTTGGGGGCTGTGGCTCTTGAAGACTTAAAAGGTGGCAGGCGGTGATGTGTAGAGCCGGGTGCTGGTGCAAATTGCGCGTTGGACCTCTTAAGGGCTCGACGTCCTAGTCGACGTCTTCCAAGCTCGAGCCTTTCAGAGTGGCTGACCTCGAGATCTCAGGTTGCAGCTCTCATCGCAGCTCTTAATCATCCTTAGCACCTTGGGGCCACTGAGCTGAGACAGAACCGGGACACAGGGAGAGTTGGCCTTTTCGGGAGAGTTGGCCGCTCGACCTTTCGGCGGGTGGTTTCGGAGGTTTTTATGTTTAACCTAGCTTTGCTTTAATTACTTGAGATGGTTGAACTATTGAACCCACTGGCTCATATTCTTCAAGTAAGTTGACACCACCGACCGGGTTTTTGATGTTGGACCTTCGGATTCTTCCCAAAGGCCAACGGCACTGGCGGCCGAGGTGCAATTTTCGTAGGCATCCCCTACGCCCTGCAACTCAAATCTTTGAACCTTTGCCAGATCACATAGATCACAGGAGTGACAGTCGCGTGCTTCCAACATCAATGTGCTTCTTTGGGCTGGCCATGCGATTTTTTGACTGCTTGGCCATGGGACATATAATATAATAGTTATATTTTAGTTACATATCGTGTATAAATAGGCAATGCCAGCAGTCGCAAAAGGCTGCCTATTGGAGGATAGGAGTGCCCATTATCTACTCACTTAGGGACTGAACACCACCCCTTTGTGACTCCTGGTGTATTGCACTTCTTAATACAGTAAGCACCACACATATTACATGGACACATGATTCTCTATAGAGATGTATATCCATACACATGTAGCATTACACATGTAGCATACACATGGGCGATGTAGGGCGATCTAGGAGCTCCATCCTTGGCGACGAATGGCGACGCTTGCTGTGCTCAGGTATCCCCCGCTCACGAGGCTGCTAGGCCATCGCTTCAGCGCTTCAGCACTGCCGTTGCTGGCGTCGCTGTGCTCGGCGCTGGCGTTTCTGCAGCCGGAGCCCACGTGGTATGGGCAGGCGGTGCACGTGGCTGCTGGGCGAATTGTAGGGGTGAGTTATATATATATATATACCTCTTTTGGATTCTTTTGGGGCAAGAACGTGGCCAGCTTCAAAAGGATTTCTGGGTTTGACTGGAGTAACTAGGCTCGAGGTAATTCCAGGACAAGCCCTGAAAGTGAGAACGGCATGAGAGCGCGATTGCTGCAATAGGCACTTTCCTTAAGCAAACGCGCACTTCTCTCAGGTGGAGCCAGACTTACTTCGCTCCTGGGTTCGCTTACACTTGGTGTTCTTGGTGTGGATCGTTGGGAGTCTCTTTTTCGCTCCCCCTCAGCAGGTGGCTCACAGCTCAGGTGGCTCACAGCAAGTCGTTGGTGGACTCCAGCAGAAGGATGGAGAACTAAGAGGATCACACTATTTTTTGAGAAAGTTGAAATCCACGCTGTGAAAAATCCCAAGGGAACATGCATCCTTGGAACAGAGCGCAGGATTTGGAACAAACATCAGCAGTTGTTTTGGAACACCCATTTTATGCATCTGGACCGCATGCCATACACCTCGGGGAACGGCACTGTTTCAAAGGAAGCTTCGTTTCTATCGTGGTTCAATAGGTTTTGAAAGGAATTTGGCTTTGATAATCTATACACTCTCGAAAACTAACATAGACCCTGACAATGGCCCCCTAAAAGAGTGTTTTCCTTCACGGGATCGTCTTCCAGGGTGTAATACTCGATTCTACTTGGGTGATCGATCCCCAGCGCTCTTCACCACCGGCGGCCGAGCTCACTCGGCTTCTTCACCGGCCGCAAGCGGGGCAATGGATGTTGCGCTGCGATCGGTGGAGTCCATCGCCTTTGCACTCCACAGTGGCTCCGGTTTGGGCGAAGCGAATCCGGAAGTTCGGCCCGGTTCGACTCCAGTGCTAGCAAAGACAATATGTTATTTTCTGGCACCACTGAAGGAATTGTATTTTTCTCGAATAATCTCATGACAATTTTTTAAAACGAGTCCTGGACGCCCAGGGTGACTGCATGCATACCAGGGCCCTCCGATTTTAGGATCCAGACCTGCTGCAAAAGCCAGATTCTTTCTCACCTGATTCCTCCTCAGCCATGGATTTATCGTATTGTCATTGACATCAGGGCTGCTTTCCGGCACTCAGCCCGAGCTGCTCCGGAACCTTCTTGCGTGGCCCAGACGATCCATTCCTAGCGCAACTATGACCTACATTCACCACCCCCCAAGAACCACCCACCAAATGCGCTCGTCCACCAATTCACCCCTCACAACGGGGGGGAGGATCCTCAAACATCCACCGTGCCGGGTCTCATCGTCTCAGGTCTCATCGGCCTCACGGAGCCCTGTCATGGCCTGGGAGCTCACCTCACCGATGGTCCCTCAGGGGCGCTGCGCAGACCGTCGCCCGGCCGAGCAAGGTGAACGACGACGTCCGTGGGAGAGGTGGATGAGTTCGGCGATGTCCGGCGGGCAATCGACCTTCCCAAAGACTTCATGGGAGCAAAACTAGCAGCTGGCATCCGTGAAGTCATCCTCAGGTGGCGGGACATGTCTGACACACTCCCATCTTCTGAGCCCGAAACGCACCGGCGAGACCGGCTTGCACCAAGGGGTGGGGAGCCTACCAAAAATTGGCACATGGCAACAGCACATGACTCATCATGAGGAGAGAGTTGAGGAAAGTCCACATGCTTTTGACCAGCATTTTTTCTAGGGGTCGATTCGTTCATCCCACCCTTGTCCAGGCCGAAGGGTCCGAAACGGCGAATGGAGCGGATGAGAACATGAAGTTGCTGGTAGTCTTGCCACATCATCCAGAAACGAGTTCTACAGAGTTCTGCAATGTCTTTAGCTACTTTTAGTTGTTGAACCGATTTTTTTAAAATCTCCCCACCCGGCGGTGTCACAACACATGGACGCGGCAAAGCACTTGCTGGGGCCATGCCGTCCACTTCCATTCTACTTCCATTCGACTTCAGGACACTCGATGTTCCCAACGCAGCCAACTCAGGACACTCTTTTTCCCCTTCGCTGGCCTTGGCCTGGCTTTGGTGTCCTTAGCCAACTTCTCCGATCCACTGATCTTGGCCGCACAAGCGTATGTCGTGGCCTTTCACAGTGGAGGTGTCTTCGTACACTGGTGCGTTGGGCATCATCCAGTCGCAGGAGTGGCTCCCGGATTCTTTGTAGTTGTGGCTTTCAGCATAGGGGTGCTTAGAACCAACGTTTTCACTGCACTGGTGGGAACATTGGTCTTTGCAGCTGTTGGAACCATACTGGGGTTCCTGATGGTGAGACCGAAACAGAGCGACGCTCTTCTCAGAGATGCAGATCAATAGCCGCTATGAGTTCGCCGGGCAGTTCTAGCTACCCAAGGGACGGCCATCAAAACAGGGACAATGCTGAGGAAAAGTCCCGTGCGTGGGAGTGTGCAAGGGTGAACTAAGAAACTACTCCTAGGTGGGATAGGCAACTCACAGTTTTTCAGTGGATCGAGAGTAGATGTCACAAAACCCTAATGTCGCTGGTCGAAATGGACCCCCATCTAAAAGGACATCATGGGGTGCCAGTGCCAGTGCCATCTACTCTAAAACCACTGTAGATGACGGAACTCTCAGAGCATTGCTGCTCAGGAGGGTCTTGGGATCCCTGTTTTGGACCAAATCCGTGGTCATATTCTGAGTTGCTCACCTTTCATCACCTTTCATGGGTCGTTCGCTCAGAAATGGCCGGTCCGTCTCAGGTTAACGTGCTGAGTTTCCTCGCGTTGTGCGGGACAATGAAGGCCCGGCTCCGGATGTGGTGAAGCCAAGAGCTAGGGCCGCCACCCGGCGAGAGGTGCGACAGGCTTTTCGAGCACGTGTGCCCATCGCCGACTCGACAGATGGCGGGTCCACTCAACCACCCGACCTGGGTGCCAAAGAGTCGGTCGCTCTCACTCATCCAGCAGTGAAGGGGAGTCGGTTGTTTGGTTGGGTTTGGGTTTGGGTTTGGGTTGGTGGCTCGTCCCTCGTCCGTTTTGGCTTTCCTGTTTCAGAAGCACGGTCCTCCTCTTCTGCTCCCTCCCGCGGCCGATCTGCTCCCGCGGCCGGTGACCGGACGGCGCGTGGCGCGCCGGAGGTTTGCTACCAGCACCTGGCCACGCTCGCCGTCCCTGCGGCGCACCAGGGCCGATGCTCGCCTGGGACGGAGCGAGGAGGTGGAGTGGTGGATTGGATGGGGGTGGGCGAACAGCTCAGGGGATCTACAGGAAGTTTCCGAGGTGGATTGGAGTGGGTCTTCCAGGTCTAAAATCGGTGGATCGGAGATATATTTGAGTGGCTCGGGCTGAAGATAAGACAACCTGACTCACATAGGGAACTTCTGGCCAGTTCCCGCCCACACCGCCTCGTGGCTGTGCCCCAACCCGTGACTGACTGAGGCATCTTTTCCTTGCTGAATGTGCTCTCTTCCCTGGGCTGCTTGGACCTTGCTCAGCCATGGGGGTCACCACCCTACACCTGTGGGCGAAATCATTTGGGCACCCCTTGGAACAGCTTGAGGATTGTTCCGTGATTCAGGACCCTTCTTTTCTCGGGTCAGTCGGCCCACATCTTCCTCGCCGCCGCGTAACCTGTGCGGCTCGCAGGCAACATCTTCGGCAACCTGGTGGCGACACGCCTCGCTGAGCATGACGGCGGGGTGCTCTACAGCAAAGGTGCGGCGCCCTTCTTGGTGACCAGCTCGCTGTGTCATGGCACAAAAGAAGACGGGGCGGGGGGGCACAAAAAGGACGGCGGGCTGCCCGGGCAGTGACAAGAAGTCCTGAATGAATGGTTCTATCTTATGTTTTCCCACATCGATTACAGCGGGCGGGGACTTTGACATACCATGCGTGCATCGGAAAAAAGTAAAACAAGTACGCGGTCCTATCGAGGGACATCGGCTCGCGATGAGGTTCTGTGCCATGGGCTGCGCAGTGGTCGGGTTTCTATGTGTGCCACACGTGGGAAGCGAAGAGCATGGGAAGCGAGTGGCAGTCGAGCCTGGTGCCCATCAGCAGTGAAAAGAAGCGCCGGGCGCAGATGGGTGCCGAGGGGCAACGATGGGTGCGACGATTGGTGAGCCCCAAAAGCACCAACCCCTTTCCCCATGACCCGTTTGAAAGATGTCAGTCCACCCCTGGTTTATGTTGATTGTTGATGTTTATTCCATATAAAGCGGTCTAGTTCTGCACATACTGATGCTGCTGTAGCTCATTCACCCAGAAGATGAAGGACCGTTTCCCAAGATCCTTCCTTGTCCGGAGCGGGGGCCCATGCATGTCTCGCCTCACGTCGTTGGTATATTGTATTACACAAACAGAAAAACATGGTAGCATGGTCAGCATGGTGAAAGTGACCCCCTTCTTCCGCATTCACCGAGTTTGGTGGATGTTCCCTGAAATCCACTTGAAATTAAGCCACCCCCATCCATCACCCCCTCACCCCCTCGCTTTCTCCACCCTTTGGTCGAACCGAACTCCCAGTACCGGCTGAGGCAATTCTGCAAACTTTAGCGGAGTCGCCCGGAGGGTGCATGCAGAATCTGGGCATGCCAGGCCCGCGTTTGCGCCGCCACACGGTGTTTTTTTTGGGGGGGAACAGGCGGGGATTCGTGGGGAAGCTTCTTCCTGGTTTTGCTGAAGGTTTTTTTTTTGTTAAACTTTATCCCCTGTGGTTTAAAATCCGCTTCTGGGGATGTTTCTATTTTGTACTGGTTCCTTCAGCAAATCCAAGTTGTCCATGTCTGGTTCCGCTGTTGCGGTTCCACATGTCGGTGAAGATGGAGGCAAGAAGTGGCTGGCCCAGAAACAAGGCAACACCTCTCATTGTGGAGAGTGTTGGGTTGGTCGTCGCCCATTCTATCCCACTAGACGACAGGGTGGCCCGAAAGCAAGTAGGCGGAAGAGAACAAATAGAAGGGAAGAAAAGCGAAGTAACAGAAGATGAATGAGCACTAAAGAAATGAAGAGATGATATATGATGATTCAAAACATTAAGATGAAACAAAATGAGATGATGATGAGATGACACAATATAATATATATATATATATCTATATATATATATATACATTATGATTATGATACTATTATCACGTTATTACCAAATCTATTAATGTATATTCTGTTGCACTGTACTTCGGAGCCCAAACGGTAGTCCCGGTCGATTCTTTTTTATCCAGCGCCGGTCGAGCTCAAACGCTAGTCCCGGTAGTAAGAGCCGCCGAAGTGTGCGAAATCGCACGTCCCAACCTGGCATCAGGACAACCAATGCTCATACAAATGCAACACTTGAAAAACAAAACAAATTACCCACAGTTCAACTCATGTTGTTTTGTCGGTTATCAGATATAGTTGCACACCCAGTCGGAACAGGATCGACTTCGAACAACTCTCGGTCGTGGATCTCGTGCCTTGTGGAGTCTCTGCACGTTCAGCTGGAACAAGGGTCGACTTCGGACAACTTCCGGTCGTGGACCCAGGTCCTTCTAATCAGTTTGGTCACGACACTTTGCAATAGCCAATTCACAGCTTTTCGCCGATACTTGTAACTTCGTGGCTGGTGACTATATGTGGCATCGACATGCCGGCCTCCTGGAATTCCATTGCGTGGTGTCCACTTTCATTTGGTCCCACTTGTTGCCGCTCAACCTGTTCAAAAGACTCAATGTCCCTGGAAACGAAACTGGTCTTTCAGGTCAAATCACACCAGACATGGTTTACACCAGACACCGTTTACACCAGACATGGTTTACACCAAACATGGTGGAAACCATTGCAGCAGCAATTATAAGGCGATTAGCAACAAAAGATTGCAAAACACCACGTAACTACGCACTGAACGATGACACAGGAACACCTTCGAGCCAGAACTATAAGGCGAATAGCAACCAAAGCGTGTAAAACACCATGTAACTACGCACCGAACGATGACACAGGAACACCTTCGAGCCAGAACTATAAGGCGATTAGCAACCAAAGATTGCAAAACACCATGTAACTGCGCACCGCAAGCACAGAGAATAGCCTCCCAAAACCGGATCTCGACGTCCAAGCTCCAAAAATTGCGATTTCGAAGCGTTTTTTAAAAGAGATTTATAAGAAAAATGAAAGCGGCAAAACTTGGAAAAAAGTACGTTGGAAACCATTGCAGTAGCAATTATAAGGCGATTAGCAACCAAAGCTTGCAAAACACCACGTAACTGCGCACCAAACGATGACACAGGAACACCTTCGAGCCAGAACTATAAGGCGATTAGCAACCAAAGCTTGCAAAACACAATGTAACTACGCTCCGAGCGATGACACAGGAACACCTTCGAGCCAGAATTACAATGGGGGAACGCTCCGGGCACAGACCATGGAATCGCATTTCCCAACGAGTATGAAGTCCGCAGCGCACATTCGCGACATC